GAAGGCGGGAAAACCCAGTGAAGATGGAAAACCTGACGTAGAACATCAACCACCGTCCACCTACAGCCGAAATGAATTTGGTCAACACTACCAAGTCTTTGGGGCCCAAGCTCTCCTTTCGAAACCTCTCCATGCAGCAGTGCGTCACATGGTGGAGACAGACTTGCAGAAAGTAGTAGGCGAGGAAACGCCAAAGAAGAGAGCGTTGATCCGCTTGGAGGAAGCGAAAGGCAAGGGAGTTTTGTCGTGGTTGACAACGCAAGGGTTGTCAGCAGATGAAAGGCAGCGACTCGCTCACGGCCAAGTGTGTGGTGCGAGCTGTCGCAACTCCAGGGTCGTTGTCTGATTCTCAAGGTAGGCCTTGGTCGCCATCTCGTGCCTCGAGACCTACCCACCGCGGAACCCCAATAGGCTGTGTGAAACGCTGACGAGCATGCTCAAAGCTTCATGTGTGATCACACGTGACCTGCCGCGAACACTCCAGCAAATGCAGCCTGACTGCATTCTCAAGAAAACCATTCTTCTTGTACTTTGGACATCGACCGGCGGCCATTCGGCACGACTGTGTGGCGAAGTAAAAGCTCTGACTGTATGACAACTTGCATGTATCATTGGTCTGACCTGGGGAAACGGTCCACACGTTGGCAGGGTCATAGGCTCGACCAAGTTTACCCTGCTGAGTAAATGGTGCAACCTTTGCACACAACAAGTGTTTTTCTCTAAAGTAAATCTATGTTCATTCTAGCTCGTTCACTTATTATCCTCCCATTCAAACTCTTCATCTTTAGAACTAAACGTCCAGAGGACCGCCGTTGTGCCTGTTTACCATTCGAGGACACGGCTGCACCCGATCGCACGTTTATCCCTTTTTCCCCTCCCTCCCTCCCTCCTCTTCTTTTTCTCCGTTTCCGCCCCCAACCCATATCTCTGGCGAACGTCTCCAAAGACCATGCACACTCCAAAGACATCTTCGTTTCGACCCCATTTTACTGCAAAGCCACCAATACTTTGCGGATGCGATGGTTCAGAAAGTGTGCTCCCGCACCCGGCATAGCAACACCATGTTCTTTCGTTCTTGCAACGTCCGGCCGCAAGAGCTGAGCCCTTCCCCTTCCGTTGTTGTATTTACTCAAAATCACACATATTCGCTTCGTCTGATGTACATATTTCCAAGGCGAACTGACGATACAAGACAAATATGAATTCCTCCTCATTTTTTTATATCCACGATTTAAAGTTTCCGGTATTTACAGTAGTGGCGGTGTCAATTTCAACTTCCAACCAGTTTCTTTCCGCTTCCCTGTCTCGCTTTCAAACCGAAATCGGTGGCAACAAACAAATCACTTTTTTGGAAACTCAATATCAAATTGTGACGCCTCAAACAGTTCCAGGCTGAAATGCTCTCTAGCTCCAGCCAAATTCATGCAGCATGTAGATGCTCCCTACCAGGCCATCCAAAAGATTCGAACATTGTTTCGCGGTGTAGTTGTTAGCACGAGACGTCCGTGCAAGAAAAATGTATCTATGTACGTACGTTGTTGGTGGGTCTAGAGCAATTATGCTCACTCCGATAGCAGTTCGCTGTTTTCATCGTTCATTTGCCAATTCCAATTTCGTCCATATATGGCACTTGTGCCGTGTTTCCTTAGTATCCAACTGTGAATCGCGCTCTGCCCGTGTGATGATGCGGCGTTCAAACCATCTCGCTTGTCCCATGGGCAGCCCTCACTGGTCAACCACTGCAAAATTTCGAGGTGTCCGTTCCTAGCCGCCATGACCCCCATATTTTTACCCCAAGGGTATCCGTTTTCTCTGGCCCACTGCAGCACGGCGAGGTGTCCATTCGCAGCTGCACCTATAAAATCGTTGCCGTCCATGTAGCATCCTTTTTCTCTGGCCCATTGCAGCATGGTGAGATTCCCATTGGAAGCCAACGCGTGGCACGTCAAATGATCCCAAGGGCATTCGTTCTCTCTCGCCCACTGCAGGATAGCATTGTGTCCGTTCCTAGCTGCCGCACTGCACGTTCGCACATCCCAAGGGAAGCCTTCGTCTCTGGCCCACTTTAGCATAGCAAGGTGGCCGTTCTCAGCTGCCATAGAGCACAGGTTCACATCTAGCACGTCACGGTACGTATAAGAACGCCTAACGACGGACAAAAAAGACGAAACGCAAACGAGTCGGAATCCACAGATGACAGCTAAAGGCGTTGGATAGCGTGCGCAATGGAAGCGTTGTGTCGGAACGTGCGCATGTTCCACCATTGTGCCCGTTAAGCATTTTTCTGATTCAGAGCCACACGACCTATCCCCTAGTACGAATATTCCGGGTTTGTTTATGCTTTTGAAGCACAGTCGAAGCATCCCAATCGGCTGTGCTATCTGTTCGAGCGGTTGCCAAAGAATCGTGAAAAACAATTTCAACTTCTCGCCTTCTTTCACGCGCCAGTGCTGCTGCCTCTTTCGCTGCCGCCGCCGCGTCTCTCGCATTCCTGGCGATCTCCTCCTTTATCGAAATTTCAGGGGCAAAAGGCGAAGGGGCTAGATCAGTCGAAATTGTCTCCTCTAGTCTTGGACACCCACACGACATTTTGCCCGAAGTGTGAACCACCTTTGTTGCGTCAATAACTCCTATGTTTCACGATAAAGCCACAGGTTCCTCAGTCAGAATTGTTAAATTCCTTGCCAAGTTGGACCAACGTGAGCGAGTGAAGAATGCGTTGGCAAGCGGAAGGGCTACGGCATATCTTTATATGTTGTCGACCAAGTCGACTTCGGAGGAAAATCGTGAAACGTTGGCATGCCCCGCTACATATGCGGAAGAAACTCTTCTGTTCACCCAGCGATTGTTTGTTTGGTATCGGTGCTCCCTCCGATCCGTACTTTATTTCAATATCGCCATACCAGTTCCTCTTTTGCCTTCGTGATAGCCTTCATCCTAGTTTCCAGCGATCCCTTCTCCTGTCGCACAAGGGCAAGCTGAGCCTCCATCGTTTGAATTCTGGCCAACATCTCTTTCCTTTCCTCCTCTGCGACTTCTTTCGCTGCCGCCGCCGCGTCTCTCGCATTCCTGGCGATCTCCTCCTTTGTCGAAATTTCAGGGGCAATAGGCGAAAGAGGTTAGTTGTAAAACACGACGACGTGAGAAAACACGGGAATAAAATCGAAATTCGTTGTTTGGCACCCGATGGACTTGCTCGGGCACAAATTTACTGCGCGCATTGAGTGACAAGCAAAGCGAGGTATTTCACTACTGAACGAACGGGGATCGGCTCACCAACTGCTCTCTTTCTTCCGCCCTGGTTCTCATTTCGGTTGCCGTTTCTCTCCTTGCGGTCGCGGCTTCTGCCGTTGCCTCAGCCGTTTTCTGTCTAGAAACTCGTACTTCTGCATTCAGTGCCCACACTACCCTTTCAAGCTTCCGGACTGCATTTGCATACGCAAAAGCTCGCTCCGCCTACAAGACATGGGATGAAATGGAGAAGGGGAACAGCTGCAGTAGACGGAGCGAAATTTGTGTCCTACTTGGGCAACAGTCGCCCCGATGCCAGATTGATTTGTCCTGCAGCACAGTACGTGGTTTTCTTGTTGCAGTACGCGGGACCGAATTCTGTAATTCTGAACGAGCGCAATACAGCCCACAATAAATACCCATCTTTCATTGCCGGTGCTGCATGCAACAGGAGGCACCCTTGGAAAAGCATTTCATTGATCGCAGGAGCGAGTTTGCGCTGCGGAGTGACGTACCCCAACTAGGAAGAGCGAAAAAACACTCAACACCGTTGTAAGCTCTGCACAAACATCAAGCAGATACACGGTCAAAAGCAGAGGGGAATATTTCATGGGGGTCCCCACACCCAAAGAGTCAAGGTGGGATTGTTTGGTCTTCCAATCTACTTGCGTGATTGAAAGGTAGCGGCTCACCGTTCCCAGAGCCATAACCAGGCAAAAAGCCGAAGCAGGACCTTGATGATCGTAGCCCATGGTATCTGTGACGACGTGGATACATGAACAAACACAGAGGGGCGGTGGGAGCAAGCAACACCAACACAACAAAAGCTGCGCCAGCAGAGCAGAGAGGGCCGGCAGGCATTTGGCCCTCTACTTATGGGAATAGGTTGCTCTCATGAGGCGGATATCTTGAGAGTTCGGCGCTGAAAACAAGGAGAAATCATCGGTAATTACGCAAGAACTTCTTGTCCTACTAGTCTTCAAGGCTGATCCATATGACATAGGCTACGCAGGTGTAAAAAATATTGATTAGCCTTCGGCTGGGCGCCAAAACATGCTCAAGCGTTGCTGTGCTGAAAAAACGCTTGAAATATATTTACGTGGGTGGTACCCCATCCCCACAGAGGCCGGCTGCAAAATTGACAGAAACGGGAAAAGAAGATGTTTTTGATTGTTGGGTTGAATTTTTAGGCCTCAAAGTGTTCAAAGGGCATGGTTTCTTCGCTATAATATCCGGAATTGTCGGTGTGCCTGTCGCTTAGGGTTTCGCAATTTCACGCCGCGCGTAGCCGCCACAAACAGACCCTTACCATGGAGCCCGGGGGAGTTCCGGGGTACCATTAAGGCACCACATCCATTCTCGGCCGCAAGGCCACTCGATTCGAAGGCTCCTGTTCCTTTTGTTGTGAGAGAACCGTATTTTCAAACGTGTGGCGTTGGGGAGATCCGTGGTGATTGCAGCCGCACGCTTGCGCGTTTGTGTGCCAGGTCTCTCACGGTTATGTTATAGCATTCCCTGGGCCAAGTTGCACAGGTGTTGAAACTGCGCAAAACCGATTGATCGTTGTATGGCATATCCTGCTTCTGTCAAAACCGGGGCGCTCTAGCCGAGCCCGTGTGAAAGCATTGCGTGTGGCGTTCTACTGATTGTTTTGCACCTTGTTCCCCATCGTTTCTGGGCTACATCATCGACACCGAAACAAGCGGAAATCAACTTCACGGCAGCTACATTTTGAGATCGCACAACAGAGCTACTTGTATCACCCCAAAACTCGCGTCTCCATTACGGCCGACACGCCCGAACGTTCGTACCATTCTTACCTGGGTGATAGAGACGTCCATATGCCCTCCTACCAGTAAAACCACCATGGCCGCCAGCACGCTAGCCCCCCTGGTGATTGGTCCCACGGGTTCTACCAGAGGCCCAGCAGCGTTGTGATCTTGCCGGTCCACCATCTTTGCCGATGCAAAATCCAGCCTTCGACAACGAAATTACTAGTAGTGCTTGTTTGCTTCACCACCGGCAGTTTCGCCTGGAACCATCAACAACAAATTCCTCGTAGGCTATCATTGGACCGGCGGCATCCTTGTGTTACCGTACTCTCTCTACGAGTACCTCGAACTTTTATGCTGTTGCAAAATTTCGTCGGGTCCAATTAGCTCAGCGAGAGGAAAGCCCATTAACGAAGAGTCCCTCTAGCCTACACTCTGGAAGCATTTGTGGGTTTCGAAGGAGTATCCGCGGGGTCAATCAAGCATCCAAATTTATGTCGGTTGTTGTTGTTGTTGTTGTCTTCACATTAAAAACCATCCCGGTCTCTCTATCCAGTACCT